CCTCGCTCCTAAGCCTGACGTTCTTCAACTTCCTCCGTTGACCCGGGAGCGAGCCTTAGTAATTTCCGTCGTCTTTATAGCCCCAACAACAGAAATTCGACGCTTGTCGGCGCTGTATCCGGTGCCTTCGTTGCGTCATATCTCCTGTACGCCATACCGAAATTCCCCTTCGGAATTCATCCATTTCCTGCATGCAATCGATTCATCTCGGAAGTCGAGCATCGGCGATGGAAGTATTCGGATTTTTTTCTTCTTCCGCTTCAATCAGACTTTCGTCATTCGCCGAAACATACAGAGAGGGGTTTCGCTCTTCATGCGAAAATGGCTTCCCAAGATCCGACTCCCGACTAAGCCGAGTCCTTCGATCGGTCGATCTGGTTTTCGCTTCCGATTCCGCATTGAAGTCATTACATTGGGTGAACCCACCAAGACTATTATATCGAAACGTGGATCTTCTCTACGAAGTTCATCAATCTCGACGAGGATGCCCGCCAGGTTCTCCCGTCGGAGCGTGCTCCCTGGCAACGACTTCGCCAACCATGTGAATTAGTGCAACTCATTGCCATGTGGCGCAAAGGCGACGAGGAGTAGCTGTATCTCGGATGATACATATTCATCCATTGTCTCAGTCGCACTATCATCCGCTGGCTCCCAATCGAAAATAATGGCGATGTCATAAACCCAATTCAGCGATGGAACACGACCCGGCATTTCAGAAGGATTATCATGCTTGCGGATCATCTAATAATCGCTGTCGGCCGCACTGCAGCTAAGCCTGCCCGCCCGCTCTCGCTCGAATGCGTTTGACAGTAGCGTTCTGATATGACACTTTCTGGCTCAGAAGGCGTCCGCAGGCTTTTCGAGCTTCGCGGGACATTCTCCTCACGCAACAGCTTCGCTGAAATTGCTCAAGTTCCGAGGTCTCATCGATATTGGCTTCGGAGACCGAGGAGAGCATCCGCACAATTAGACATTCGTTCGCCGCAGTCGATTGAGTTCGATTCCCTTCGCGAAATGATAATTACGCACCCTCGGAGAGCACAGAAATTCCGAAGTAAGAGGAACCTTGATTCAGATCACGCCAAAATCGTAGGGATGGAATCGCTGTCCGACAGTAGAGGACTGGGGATACCGTCGACCCGCTGAGCGGTGGGATCGTTGCTCTCCGTGGGAATTCCCTCTTCCCGAGAGCGAGCTCGTCGTTCGGCGACCGATCGCTGTGCCAACGGGACTTTGAGGCAAGGCCGCGGAACGGAGTGGGGCTAGAGTGCCAGTTGGCAAGGAGTGATGGGGAACGCGGCATCTCCATTGTGGTCGCTGACGCCACGTGGGGGGACGCCAACTGGGCGCCCAGTGACTTTTTTCCCTCGCTCTGGTGATGGGCGAGCTGGCTGGCTCACTCGATTGCGACCTCTTCCGCTTGCCGCGACCCGCCCGCCCGTCCTCAAAACATCGTCTTGTTGTTCCTTGCTAGTCGCCGTTCTCCGAGTCGTTTGCTAGGGTGCTCATCCATTTGTACGTCCTCCCGCGCAGCCCGCCCGTACACTGCAGTTGGGGCAGCATCGCTGGTCTGAATTAAATTCTTTTCATCACTTGCTGCGTCGTGCGGTATTCTCCACGCGAGATCCCGGCTCGACGATCATGAGGAGCCATCAATGGGTTACGCTCCGACCGAAGAGTGTGCATTAACAACGTCATTAATGGCACCCCTGGTTCGAAGCCGCTGTTCACCTTTGAGTTTCCCATGTGAACCACCGGTGCTTCGTAGTGGATTGTGGGCATCAAGTGACAATTCCAAAAGGACGCGGAAACTCCAAGCTTCCCTGACGGAAGGAGCTGGAAGCCCCACCGACGTATTCAGCAGTATCGGAAATTCGGAAGGGAGGGTACCAGTACACCGGGAATGCCTCCAACCTCGACGTCTCGTAGATTCAAGCGATTTTCGTGTTCATCCTCTATTTATGATTATTCGCTTCTAGTGCTCTGAGAAATGGCACGACTGATGGCTCGGGGCTGCATTCAGTCACAAACGATCGAAAATATCCGAAGTACATGGATGGCTCTTAACTCTCTAGCGCGCTCACGCCGCAATCTGCTTCTCTGCTCCGTTTCTCGAAAGCCGTTCCCGGACTCGTGTGTGGAGTAATACTTCTCCAGACACTGGTAGCGAGGCGGCCCTCCACTTTCGTTGTACGTATTTTTCTGCTGCGAGGAACCTCGGCCGCCAAAGAGATCGTCAAGTGGTTGACGCGTCCAGGACTTCGCATGTGAAACCTGCGTCCTTCCGCTGATTGTAGCGAGCCCCGCAGATGTTCCTGATAGGGTTTCTGATAGACTTCCTTTAGAGGCTCTTGTGAGGGCTTCCGTGAGAGTCTCCGACGCATAGTACTTTCCCAGGGATTTTTTGAACGGCTCCGAAGGAAGTCCCGCACGAAACGCGAACGGAGCTTCCAGAGAGAAGACCAATCCCGCCTGCCACCTGATGTATGCAGGACACCCAGGTCCCGGAAGCTAGACCGTTTGATGACTCCAGGAGAAACCACAGGACACACCGAATACGATACTTCCGCTCAATGAAACAACGGAGAAGCGGTGAGGATCGGTAGAGCGGCTCCATCCCTGCTCTCCGCATTTGTTTCTGTTCATCCCCCTACTTATCATTGATTTCCGATATGGGTTTCCGTAGCGCTCCCACGGAAGTCTACAAGACCTGCTTCTTGATCGAGGACCATTCATCTATCCGGCTGCTCTGCCAAACAGACGCCAATCTCATGGAGTCTAGGCACGCTCGGGAGAATTTCGTTTCAGGCCCAATAGTACAACCTCGATGAGGGAAAAACGCTTGCGTCAATGTGACGACTTCGTGATGTCCCGCAGCGGCGGGAATACTCAGAGGCGGGAGTCTCACTCAGCTCGCAGATGAAGACATAGATAGGAGACTGGATTGAAAACTAGACGTAACGATAGCGTCAGCAGCGGTGACAACAACGGCAGCGGCGACATCGTCGTCGACGATAGTAATAATACGGACTTCCACATCGTCAGGACGCTGCCGCTTCCGTCGTCATCGCTACCGCCGTAGTAGACGTCGACTGTTTTGGCTTGCTGTCTGTCTGACAGACAGGCGGACGGGCGGGCCAAACGTTTCTTGTTGCTTGTCGTTGCTTGTGTTAGGCCCAATGCTTGCCTGATCACGAATCCCCTCGTCAACAGCCGCTGCCGACGTTGCCAGGGTCTCTGGATGACGCGATTTTGAGCAGCGGATGTCGGCCAGGCTGGGCTTGGCCCTGCTGGCCTTCGTTCACATTTTATGTTCCATGGGCGATTGACAAATCACTCAGTCCGCCTAACAGGTATGGGATCATAGCGTAAGGCTTCGCCGAAGCGCGGGCTCTCGATCACTCTGATTGGCGGGAAATTGGTGAACACTGAAGCTATCATGCAACGGGATTTGGTTTCGAGGAAAGTCGCTTCGCTAATCGCCGTAGCGAGATAAAATGTACAAAGTATGAATGATGTACCGAACTTAGCGTCTTCATGAAAAACTTCTCGTTCCGTCAGAATTCGAGATAAGCTGAGATGAGCCCGAGGGAGACGTCTTTGGCAAGCTTGGCGTCTCCTAGTTTATCGATCGGGTGCTCGGAAGAAACAGAACGAAACGTCTAAATGACGAAAGGCTCTGTGAACTGCGTCAATCTTCGATCAGAGTAAACAGAGTCTCTGAGCGTTGCGCAGCTCAGCCGGTTCAACTAATATCGTTATAATCGTCTCGGGTGGAGAAGAAGGGAAACCTGTTCCCTCGAAGCTCCGAGCACCACCAACACGCTCTGGACCGGCCGACAGCAACCACAGTAGCGGAGGCACTGGCCAGCGGCTCTTCGAGTAGAGTTTGAGGTTGGAGCAACCCGGCTTAGGTTTATCGTGTGTTCATACTGGGTTTCAGGGAAAACTTCGGATTTGCGACACAGATTCGGACGAAGGAAAATCGGAAACAGAAGAGATGGACCACCCGGACGAAACAGAGCTCGCCCGGAAGAGCTCGATGAATTTTCTCGAGGAGTCATCCATTGTTGGATTCTTGCGGTGTTTTGTGCATGGAGTTGGCCGCTGCATTGTAAAATGTCCGATCATCCGAATCGAACCAAACCCTTACAGCTCATCCAAGATTGTCAACCCCGACTTTTGAGAGCCACATCCTACTCATATGCAGTATTCGTTTTTCATCACAAAGTGTGATATTCGGCAACAGAATCGTCTCGGCAGAATCCCTGCTGATAACGACTGCTGTAGCGGTCAATGCCGGAGAGGGCTCACAAATCCCTGCATGGAGTATACGGAAATCTCCTTGATCAATGCTTGCACTCCACTCCGTGTCTCTCCCGGGTCGTTTCGTAGTATGTTGAATACTCATGTGTCTTCTGCCGCGCCGGAGAGTCGAGTGCTCACTCAGAATGAATATCCTGCGGTCGAGATAAGTAGTGCCTTTCGCAGTGTAAGATGGATGGATATGTGGCCCGCTAAGGAGCCAGAAGCAGGTGGACGGAGATACGGTTTCAAACAGAAATGCCGACTTTAGCTCTCTCTACCCATTAGGCCAACGCGCGCTGCCAGCCGTCGAATCGCTAGCAGCTCGAACCATTAGGAAACAAGGATCACTCCTCCAGAAATTGAGCATCGCTCGCCGGCGGCGGCTCCTTTTGAAGCTTCCGGCAACACATATTCCCGCATGGTGCAGGTTTCACGGAGTAGATCTCCGGTGTTACGTGGATGATGAACTACAATATTTCTGAGAGCTCCCTTTGGCGCGTCCTGCGTGCAGCTCACATTGAGGAGCATGTTCGTGTTCTGATCCATTCGAAAAAGATATGTCCCCATAATGACGTATCTCGTTACGTACTTGTAGGTCCTACATATGTATGAATTTATTATACGTGCTGTGTGTGTTGCTTCTCTTCCTCGGCGAGAAGAGGCTAGAACAACGAATAAATGTTTTGACTCACCGATGATGTGAAAAGATTCGCCTCGATAGCATTCCAAGATCTCGAACGGTTGACAAGTATTTCTCTCTGACTGACACTGAGTCCTGAAGAGCTGCGACTCGAATCAGTTCGTTTGACGGCGGCCACAGCGCTCACGGATCGTTCAAACGGAACCCTGGTCGGAGTGCCTTCGCGGCTCGCGGAGGACACATTGTCAGTTAGCACAACCCTTTGTTGCTGACGGTGCTCAGCCATTGTTTGCTGCCTTTGGATGCTGCCTTCCTTAATATTCACATGCTCTCCGAATGAAACATTGACTGTTTTCTGAACGGTTTGACTGCTGGTGCTAACGCTGCTAGTGCTTGAGGTTTCCGTCGACGCCTCGATCCGACGGAAAGACTTTTCCTCCTGTTGCTCTTCCATCGCGACCGTGGTCTCCGTGGAACTGTTCAGCAGCTCCTCGACCTGTTCCTCGATCGCTGCTTCCGAGCTGAAAGAACTGTTCCAAAAAGTGCTACCGATAGCGCTATTGTCTTTGATTTTCACAATGAGCGGAGAGCTAGGACACGATTCAGTGGCTCTCTGTACAGCGGCTGAGCCTAATCTGAACCGGAGGGACGGCAGTCGACTGACTTCGTCGATGCTGGCGCTTGTTGCTAAAACCCTCCTCCGCGATATGACAGGACTCCCTGTCCCGCTTCGAGTGGCGTGGAGGATGCGGGAATCACTGAGCGTGCTGCTGCCGCTGTCCGACGAAACGCTGGATGCGCGGAAATCGTGCTCGTTGACTAAATTCGAAAAGTCCGAGTACTCCTCACCGTACTGACGAAGCTTTTCGTTCGTTTCTACGGAGCGTCTGAAGGAGTCAGAGGTGCTCTCGCTTGTTGAGTTGTGTCGGAGACTGAAAGCCTCAAGTCGGCGTCGTAGATGACTAGCCGAGGAAGACGATGCTGACGTTGGGTATGATGCGGTTTCAGCGCTCGCCGCTTCTGGACACGATGACACACGACCTGACACGCCGGATCGCAGCTTGACAACATCTTCACGATTTTCTTCACACTTCAGCGACGAGGAGCTGCTGCTTGTTGCTGTCGAAGCGGTCTCGAATGTCTTTGTCTGTACGCTACTCGTTTCACGATGATGGTTTTCGTTGATATGACTCGTGGTGCCTGTTTGCATTCTACGATTACGGCTCCGTTTTTATCCGATCCGACCGGGTGATCCGAATCAGACGAACACCCTATTCTGACGCGGACCAGAACACTAGCAGGATAACTCTCGTGGATAGCCGGAGTCGTCGTTGCGCCTTACGATCGTTCCAGATCGATGCCTGATAGGAATCTGATAGGATACGAGGGAAGGCCGCACTCGTGGTTCGAATTTCGCGCACTTCACGTTCGGTATGTTCCGTTTTAGCGGCAGTTTCGCGGATCTCGCTTAGGCTCTCGCCGCAGCGCTTGATTTTTCTGACAAGTACGTCGCAAGACGCGGTGAACGCTTGGAGCACAGAGTTCTAGAGTAGTTCGACGTCGGCACAGAGACTAACTGGGATGGACTGGCATCACAGGCTTTGGCACCACAAACTTACAATAGGTCTAGAAGAAGAAGGCTGTCGGCGAGAATGCGTCTTGCAAGTGCGAATGCTCGGTCTATTGGTTCACTGATGGTTGCTGCTGCGGCAGCAGCTTGTGGCGGCGCCTCACTCGACGCTGTGCAGGCCCGGCTCTCAATGTTGTACCTTCCTAGAGCGCCTGCTGAGTGGTCTGCCCGGCGGTCCGTTGACCAACCGACCGGCGGTCCGAGCCAGCGAGCAACTGTCTGAATGGCGGCCGCTTCGCCTGCTTGTCCCCTGTGGTCGCGATGGGTTTTCGTTTTTTTTTGTTTCCAGCTACTGGCCGAGTCGCTTCGGTCGTGAGCACCGGAGACCCGTGTCAACGACTCAGACCTTAGGGTTCCGCGACCGGCCAACTCTGTAGCATTGTACCTCCTTCACCGGTGTTGGTAGCGCTGTCGTTGGGCAAGCTGCATTTCCTCTTGGATACCACAAGTGAAACAATGATTCACGCCGGAGAGTTCTGACCGGAGTTGCTTCTCGCTGGCGGTTCCTGATGACTGAGTCTTTCCGCTCCTGGTACTATTAGCACGATCGCTGATTGAGCGAGTCGAAGTTTTCTCCCAGGACTTCGCACATGTCCCGTTCTGCTCATGTGGTAGAGCACACGACCTGCTCACGACCACTTAGAGTTCTATTAGTCCGTCAGAATCACGATAGCGCACTAGATTCGGGTGTCCATCGCCGCACCGCGCACACCGAATTACGAGCGGCGCCGGACTGGCAAGAGCTCAAGCGTCGATATAGCCATCCGCGCGGCTACATAGCTCTCCGTGATCAAATCACTTCCAGGCTTGATTGGGCTCAGTTCGGAATTCCGGAATTTCGCCTATCGGAAGTCGCCGAAACTCAGCCGATAGCCTGTCAAGATATCAGAGAGCTCGATCTGGCTCTCCCGAACGTGGCCTGCCGCCAGGAGGAGACAGAGCGCTCCTGGCTTCGTAGCGCAACGTGTTTACCGCCGGAGCGTGGCGACGGATGGAGACTAGGGAAGGGTCTATCAGGAAAGGGTCTCGAACCCTCCTCCGCGGGGCACATTCGCCATCCGACTTTATGATGAACAGCTGAACTATTCATCGACTGTCTCGGTCGTTTTCCTGTTCATAGGGTTTTGATCGATGGCTCAATTAGTTCGTGACTATTTCCTCGTCCGACGTGGCTCGACAGATCTATTTCTTCCGTGGAAAGGAACCGTCTCGGACGGGATCGCGCAACACTTGTCAACCGCGGTCAACAAATATTGACCCGGTCGCGCTGCGAACAAGACGACGCGACGCAGCCGCGTGCGCGGTTGCACTGATAGATAGGGTTCTATGGAGGCCAAGGAAGACGTTCACAACATGTGATACGACTTGCCTGAATGATGCTGGCAATCGTCCGTTGGAAGAAACGGAGGTTTGTTCTCAGGTTCCACTTCTCACACCTCATCACGCCAGCCGCTCGATCTGCGGACTCTGAACCCGACTGAAATGGCACTCTCGGTATCGCGAGAGAGTAAATTATCAATTATCACCAATGTTGTCAATCCAGACTTCGAATCCAAAACGTAGGCGCAACAACCCGATGAAAAAGCACGCCATCGCTCTCCCCCGGAATATTCAGATGGGCCATTAGGTGCACCAGGCGAATCGCCGAGACTCGGGAGCTCTGAGCGAGTTGATCACCCGCCTCACGAGCCGCCGGTCTAGACATAGGGTTCGTGGAAATCGATGAGGCTCTTCCTGTGGAAGACGCGCTCATGAGAAATACTTTGTAAACCTGGCCGGTCGCCTCTCGGTCGCCCGGGAGGACAACATTGGCTCGCGGTTTATGGTCTCGGCTTGTTAGAAGATGCCGACTGTGAGTGAAAACTCGAACCACAGCGATGCGACGCCTGGCAAATGCTCGGGGAAGCCGTGACTCGATATTCGTCATCGGGCGGGTTTGAGCTCGTGGAACATCATGAATCATGAGTCGTGAGGTCCGTTCGAACAACGTAACGACCGCAGGGCAGACACCAGGGTGAGGAGCGGACCGGCACGCCGTTGCCGGACGGTCGGACGGCTGCTTAAGATTCTAGAGCGTTCTCCAGCGACCAATCATGACGGTGACTCGTTGCCTCCAGGAGCACCGAGTCTTTGGAGATAGTTTCGCTTTCGCGCTGCATTCATGCAAAATCTCGGGACCGACCGATTGCTCAAGGAGCCGCATGTCCTGAGTTCTGCACTTCCTGGCGGGAAGTTTTTCCTTCATGCGGCTCATGCTGCGTTCGTGAGTTTCTTCAGGATGGCGTGATATCGCCCCGGCTCCGCGTATTCAATTGGTGACGCTGGAAAACTCACTATTCGCTGTCCTGTCAATCAAAGCCGAGGCGCCGGATATTCCCGGCTCCATCGATGATCGCTGGCTCTCCCTTACGACCCGACAGAGCATCACTGTGAGGACTCGAGTCGTAGAGCTAGACGATCGAGAATGATGTCGACGGGAGCCGAGATTACCGGCTAAGATGCATCTCTTCGGCGCAAGATATTGGGAGTCATTAGACTGAGCGGTGCGGTGAGGGAATTCAGAAGCGTCTTCGATCAATTCATATCCGTGCGGATGGAGTGCCGAAGGTCTTTCGTGGATCAAACTCCCGAGAGGACGATCTGGCCTCCAAGGGAGACTGGATGAGTGAATTTTCAGGGAATAGCGACCACCTTCGATGTGGTGAGGGCGGAATCTTCGCTCCTTTCCCGCAGGCATATGGCATCTCGACTGGGACCGTGTTAGATGCTGGGGGGAATTCTTTTCCGGACGACTCGCTGAGGGAAAACCCTCCCCGGACCAGGGTCGGCCTTGAATATGAAGGGATAGTATTGACATGGGCGAGGATCGATATACAGTAAAAGCTCGTTACTACGAACACGAAGTGACCGACGAAACTGATTCGTTGTACCGAGTTTTCGCTGTAACGAATGCCGCTCAACACTATCCCTATGGCGAACTGGCCAATGCAGGAGAAATTCCTTGTTCATGTACCGAGAAATTCGTTGTAATGGGGGTCGTTATAAGGAGCTTTTACTGTAAAACCATAAACCTCAATTTGAGACGTCATCGACGTGAAACCGGCGAGCTCAAACCTCTCCTACAGTAATTGTGGAAAGCCCCCTGAAGAAGCGTAGGCGATCGACGTGTCGGAAGCTCATGATTCATGGCGTTCAACAATCTCCGCGGAAACGCCGAGATCCGTGAGAGAATTATTGATTCTGCCTAAGATTCGAAGCGACGTGAGACCGGAAGACTGGACTTTCCAGAACACGACAATCCCAAGTTTGGCACGGGAATTGAAAGAGTTGGATCCGGTGATGATTCCTTGGGTCTGGGCAGATACCCCTTCCTATAGAACGCGACAATGAAGCTTAAAATGTTTCGTTGGTTGCACCGATTCGAGACTGTTGCATTGGTCCCATGCACACATCACAAGACACGTGTCCGCGTGTGTATACCTCTCCTGTAATTTTCAATAATCTCAAGGAGGTAGAGTGGGCCCCACATAACTTGAGCGACGCGATCTCCACGTACTCTGCGCTCGAAAAGCTGGGCAACTGCGGTGGTTCGTTGCCGCTCGCGACTGCAGCAGCAATTCTAATTGCTGCCAAAGTCTTGGAAACGAGACGCGAGCCACGATCATCTCGGGAGTGGTCGTTAACTCCAGTGTTTCCCCGGCTCCTTCACAGATTTATCGATCATATACGATCGACTTGAACAAAGTTTCGTTGCTCCATATCGGGGCGTTCGCCGAACTAGTGACTCTCTCTACCTCTGAACATGGAAACTCACTTGTCTTCGA